CAAAATAGAACTAGAAAAAACAAGAAGAAAGTGTCTAAATTCGTAAATAATTAAACTGAGTTTCTACATATAATTTTATACGACTACGGTTTTCTTTTCCATTCCAAAAACTTTCATAATTTTTCAGGTGCTGTAATTTCATTATTTCTTTCATTTCAGCTTATTTAACTTAATTTCATTCACTTACATAATACATTTGTTCGTTTTACAAAAATTACATATGTGGAATATATAAACTGATGTAACACAATAATATTTATTACTTATCATTCTCGTAAAATCATTTCGCTTATTCCTTAATGTATTGACGCTACTATAATCATTTATTTCATCTTTAAGCGTTTGAATTTGCCGCGTAATAATGACGTAGTCAAGCTGCAATTCCCATTGGTTGTCTGGCTTTACCATGCGCAAGAGCATACCCTTGTATTTCTACCATGCCATAACTCTTGCCTCTTAGTAACAAGTGTCTGCGTGAGTTTGTAACGAATATTTTCGTTATTCACTGCAAGTTCTGAAAATGTATAGTATAACGTAGTGTTAACTATACATTTTCAGTGGTTGTAGTGAATAACGAAACCAGCGAGGACGAAAGTGAGAGCAAGAGTAAGAAAGAGAGAGCAGTTTGTCTCGACGGCGATCACGCAGAATTCACCATTGTTAACCTTTGATGGACGAAATGCAGCGACCTATGCGGAAACGTAAGTACAATTTATTCCCATTCCATTTTTCGCTTTTTTTCCTTTCTTCCTCATATTTTTTATTTTCGTCTTTCTTCTAACTCACGAGTAGGTATACTAGGCGGTTTCTGGATACAAAAGTGGTGGGGGGTAGGTCAAGGGTGGGGGGAATGTAAGTCAAGGAGGAAGGATGGGGAGAATGTAGGTCAAGGAGGAAGGGTAGGGGGAATGTAGGTCAAGGGGGATTAATTAATTAATTAATTAAACAATAATCGATTGAATCATCAATTAATTGAGAACAATTAATTGATAACAATTAATTTTTTTTTATCAATTATATTTTTCGTGGGCCCGCTGCCGCCACGTGCGCGGTGACGCCATTTTGAACGCGGTGTCGCCACCGTCGCCGCCACGTGCGTGGGTGACGCCATTTTGAACGCTGGGCTGCCACGTCGCCACCGCCGTCACATGTGCGGATGCCGACATTTTGAACGCGCCGCTACCACGTGGACTGA